AAGGGACATACTGCCTTGTAAGCCACCTCTCTCCATAAAGTAGGAATAAAGCATGTTTGCACCCTAGATTTTATCAGGCAAGAGTATCTTCTTGTTACTTCTTGAATTTATTTCAGCTTTGGATACTGAGGTCACTGTCACTGATTTCTGAGAGTTACAGATAAGCTTGTCATGCTGCAATCAGTGGTCAGTATTGGTTGGTGCTAAGGAGGGGTAGTTCATATGAAGGCTGATTTTCCTTCTATTTTACAGCTGTGACATGAATGTGTCATTATGCTCTGTCTGAGAGGGTGGAGATTTAGGTATTTTTGTTACTAATAGTGAATGATGATGTTGTCTGCAGATAAAGTATGAGAAGTGTGGTGTGCCGGTGAGGACAGCTCAGCAGAGGGAGTATGGGGTGGGAGAGAAGAGTCGGGCTTGTGCTGTGTCAGCAGAGGGGCTCAGAGAGAAGAGTCACCCTTTCAAAGGGGTCCCAGTCCTCCAGCTTGTTTCAGGCACCTGGAGGCACCAGCAGCCGTTTGCTGTCACAGTCCCTTGTGTTGGCAGCCTCAGTCGTGGCTCAGAGCTGGCTCAGGCTGGGCCCTGCTGCTTTCCAGAACTGCTGACTGTTCTTATCTCCCTGGCCTGATTCTCCCATATGGAGTCCAGGACCTGCAGAAACCGAAACCAACCTTCAGACTCGAGCCTGCCCTTCCTCTCCACGTGGTGATCCCCCTCCCTGAGTGTGGCCAGGCCAGCCTCAGACATAGAAAACCTCTGGAGACTCCTGTCCCCAGCACTTCCCTGGAATGAATCAGGAGTGACTCCTGGGGGTGATGCTGCTGAAGAACTGGTGTGAGTGAAATTCAGGGCACTCTTCTCTGGGTCTCTACTGGTTCATGGTGAACAGAATGAGCTCCTGGAAGCATTGAATGATGCAGAGAAACAATTCAGACTATTCAGAAGCTTGCACCACCTAACTGCCAGAGCCTGATGGTTCATGGAGTTCAGTGGTGTTCCCTCTGTGTGGGGGAGGGACCTTTAAGCATACGCAGGGGAGAGGTGCTTGGATTATGCAAAGGCACACGCTGTTGATAAATTCTGAGTACTGATAGTGCCCCTACTACAAAGTAGGAGCATTAAAAGGGCGTTAACATTCCTTGAAAGGCGTGCTCACCGCGTGCTGTTGCCGCGGGACCGGGGCAGGATGTCGGGGAGCCCTGGCTGCTGCCGGGACACGAGTGGCTCAGCCTGCAGGGTGGCTGCTCCGGCTGCACCGCCCCGGTGCACTGGGGTGGCATTTCCAGGGCAGGCAGAAGGGAGGAGATAAATTTAAACCCGGCAGATTATTAGGTAACAAAGTTAAGAGTGCCTGGCACTGTGTATTCCTGGACCATCAGGGCCCTAAAATAGCGCCAGTCCAGTAGTCAGGAACGCTGACCCTGTTTTGGTGTCCTCCTCTGACAAGATTTGCTGTTTGGTCCTGCTGCTGTTGCCCTCCTTTGTGCTGCTTGGCCAGGGAGCTGAGGTCCCCTGCTCTCGTGACATGGCCCTTGTGGCAGGCAGGGTGAGGGTCCCTGTCCCCTCGTGCCTCAGCAATGGATCAGACCCCTGAGGGTTCACAGGGCTGGTTCACTCCCTTGACACAGTCCTCAGTCCTCTTGATGAGAGTGTCAGGAATGAGTGGAAATCACTTTTATTCTCTCTGTTGAAGGAAAGCAGGTGAACTTACTTCATATGGAACACCAAAGAGCTCTAGGGGGCTTTTTAAAGCATGTCTTTAGATTGTTTGCAAGGTGTGAGTACAAAGTGAGCAGGAGACAGGTCTTCATGGCTCCATGGAAGTGTTTCTGTCCTGGTGGTGTGTATGCAGGAGGAAGGGGCTCACAGACTCTTCAGTCCTCTCACTGGGTGAGGAGTCAATAGCTTGGTTCCTTTTTGGCAGTGAATGGGTCAGACACAGGACAGTGTCTCATTGGTGTCGGATTTTGGATTTAAAAAAAAATCCTTGAAATAAATTCTTTAGCTCAAGGGAGCTCAAGATTTGCAACACCAAAGGCCTTGTTGGCAGCTTGTCAGCAGCCTGAGGGCTGCACCTGCTTCACAGAGACATTTACATAAATATTTCTGATCAGTAATGCACGCTTGTAACCTTACTTCCCTGTTCTCTTGCTTCCCTGGTGAATGAGGATTACTTGTGGGAATTTCACTGCGGTTTCCTGCTGGTGTCCCGGGAAGGCTGAGGGAGCTGGGTCTCTTTAGCTTGGAGAAAAGGAGACTGAGGGGTGACCTCATCAATGTTTACAAATATGTAAGGGGTGAGTGTCAGGGAGATGGAGTTAGGCTTTTCTCAGTGATGGCCAGTGATAGGACAAGGGGTAATGGGTGCAAATTGGAGCATAGGAGGTTCAAGGTGAATATCCAAAAAAATTTTTTTCCTGTGAGAGTGACAGAGCACTGGAACAGGCTGCCCAGGGAGGTTGTGGAGTCTCCTTCACTGGAGACATTCAAACCCACCTGGACGCGTTCCTGTGTGATGTGCTCTGGGTGATCCTGCCTGGCAGGGGGGTTGGACTAGATGATCTTTCGAGGTCCGTTCCAACCCCTAGGATTCTATGATTCTATGAAGCAGTGCCAGTGTCCTGGGAAGCAGTGCCAGTGTCCCGGGAAGCAGTGCTGGGCTGCAGGTCTCCCTGCTGGACCCTCCACTGTCACCACGTGTGTGCCAGGAGCCCGGCGCGGGCCTGGGTTCCGCAGAGGCAGGTTCTGCTGTCCCCACCAGACCTGCAGCAGTGCCAGGAGCTTCTCCCTGCTGCAGCCCTCCCCAGCAGGGTGGTTTCCTGTGGCTGGAAGCCGGGCTGTGTCTCCCGGGTCGGCCCTGGGACGCTGCTCCCTCAGCCGGGCCGCGCGGCCCAGCACGTAGGGAGCCCCATTAGTCAGCAGGTCGGCAGGGCTGGGTTTCCTCGTGCGTCCCGTGCCAGGGCCATCGTGTTGGCTCTGGCTGCCAACCGAGCAGCAAAGTGGAGCAAAAGAATTGCAGACAAAGGGCTTTTATTTATTAGTTATTAATGTTGTTCAGTTGAACCCGGCTGGTGTCATCAGTAGCTAATGTTTGTGGGGTTTACGTCAGGGGATTGCTGCTGGGGAGTTTGCTGCTCTGCCCTGCTTTACTTCACCCTTTAAAGAAATGTTGATAATTATATTTTCTCAAAACATTTCAGAGTAGAGAAATACTGCATTCAGACTCTGAGCTTCTGATTAAGCAGCCTCACAGTTAGCAGTCTAGAGCTCACTTATCCTCCTACTTGGTGCTACAAGGAGTTCAATAAAAATTTTGGATTTGAGTCTCAGGCAACCACAGGAAAAGCACTCTCTGGATGTGAAATCCTTCCAGAGCACTGAAATTCACATGGTGCCTTCCCAAGTGGTGCGGGCTGGAGTCTGGAGATGCAGGCCTGGCACTGGAGCTCCATCCATCTCCTCATGCAGGAGCTGGCTGGTGTTCAGGCTGCCAGCTGGGTGCTTGCCCCCGTTCCTGGTCTCGTAAGCTGTGTGTTTGCTGCAGCTGGGAGCTGAACTGGGGCTGCTGAGGTCCCGAAGGTTTGAAGTTACCAACCAGTGAGCAGAGTTGGGCCAAAATACCTTTATGGAGGTTGGAGGAAACTTGGTGTTTGCTGCAGAACTTCTGGGCTGAAGGGATGTCAGGAAATCACGTTGCCTGTGAATCAGGGACAATGATGCTGTGTGGTCACATGCTCCAAAGGTCATTCAGAATCAGCAATGAAAGTTTTGTTCCCTTTATTGCTGTCTGTTGCTTTTGCATGACACCCCTCAGAGTCCAAGCAGCAGGACTGCTGGGGCAGCTCCACAGCTGGTGAGGTTGCGTCGCCAGGGGGGTCCTTTTCCCCTTGTTCCACTTGTACTTAATACAGCTGCTTCTTGAAGGGAATCAGGGGTTGGAGGGTTGCAGTATACATGCTTTTCTATGAAATTTCCTACGTACACTTCAGCATTTAGGTCAAGCCGAAGCTTCCCCTGTGGGCAGGCTCTTCTGGGATTTTCTTAGAGCTTCCTCTGAGTTACCTGATTCTAAGAGAGGATGCCAGACTGTATGCATCATTTCTGTGATCCTTTGCTTGGTGAAGTATAGGTTTATTTTTCAAATAATTGAGTATTACCATGGAGAAGCTGTAGCTGGAAGCATGCTGCTGGTGCACCATTTTTTGTTGCAGCTCCTTGGAGGCTGTGAGGAATGGAATGCACTGAGCTTCATGGACAGTGTGCTTGGAGGTATTTGATAGAGGCTGTGGGATGTCTAGATGCTGGGGCCATTGGCGCCACAGGACTTGTATAAATAAATTCATTTGTGCCATGTTCACACAATTAAAGCTGGAGACCTGAATCACATTTAATTAGGTTTATTTTGCTAGTCAGGCCACACAGATTTCATTTACTTTGTCTGGTGTTCTAAAAACATACAGGAACGTACACACAAGTTTAAGAGCTTAAATAAAACCCACAGCAGCACAGAAGTGCCTTAATGGCTGTGTATCAGTGTAAAGTCTATTGAGCTAAGATTTATGCTTGATAGTACAAAACAGGGTATTTTAACCTCAGAACCCTGCCCTGCCCTGCATGGTGGTTGGTTATGACCAGCTGCGGTCCTGGGGCTGCTCTTTGTCTCTGGGCCATTGGCTGTCCTGGGTCAGTGCTGGGAGAACTGGGAGCAGGGGACACCTTGCTCACCAGGATTCCCTGGCTCTCTCATGCTGGCTGTAGTTTAGGAGATGATCCTGAAGTGCACATATTATTTTTTTTGAGATGCTGTTGTCCGGGTTTGTCCTCACCTCCCTGGAAGTGACTAGCAGCATTGTCCTGGGGCTGTCACAGGGCCAGGGCTGCTCCTTGATAATGTGCTTGGTAGCTGTTTGCCAATTTAGAAACAGAAAAGGGAGACCTGAACCTGTTCTGTTGTGGATTGATTTCTGTAGAGCACAGTGATGTGTTCACATGTGAACATGATTGCGGAGAGCTTTGGGAAGGTACTGCAGAAGCATCACTCGGGGTGCTGAGTCCATCCCTGCGAGCTTGGGTGAGGGCAAGCAGGGGCTGATGCTGCCTACACCAGATCCCTCCCAGGAGTGCGCACAAGCTCATTGTCAGTTGCAGCTCTTGAAGGTCTCTTAATCTTGTTCATGGGAGCAGGAAGCGGCTGGGTCAGGCCATTTATCTCCACGTGGGGAATGGGGGAGCAGGGTGGGTGGATGGCACGTTGCTTGTCGCCTGCTGTTGTAGTTGTGGTGTCCCTGGAGGTGTCAGGGTTGCAAACAGCAGAGGAGCCAGGAGCTGCTTCCATGGCTTGTTCTGAAGGGTTGAATGTGGTGGCAGGACGGGGTTTGTGTTCAGTCTGTGCTGGAGTGAGAGGGTGAGGAGTGGGAGGTGCAGCGGGGTGGGGACATGGGGTGGATCTCGGGCACGGGTCCTGCGGTGGCCGGGACCCCCGAGGGCCCTCACTGCCCTCTCAGAAATGCGGGCAGTTGGTCACCAGCCCGGTTAGAGCCTGCGGGTGGGGAACGTGGGGACAGCGCCGTTAATGACTGTGGGTGTCTCCCTTCTCTTCTAGAGGAGAATGAGAAGCACGAGAAGCTCCGGCTGGAGAGGGAGCAGGAGCAGAAGAAGGGCAGCAAGGCCAGCGCGCCACGGGCCAGCAGCGCGGCTGCCCCCGAGGAGCCCCG